TTTGTATTCCCAGCACTTAGGTCAGAGCCTGGCATGTAGTGGGTGCGTTATCAATGTTTCTTGACTGAATTATTAACTTCATCTTCACAATTAGTCAATTGGGAGAAAGGACATCTGCCGTAGTCTGATCCACCAGATTTAGCCCTGAGGAGAGAACAATGTCTCTTTTTTGGTTTTATTTGGTCCTTAGGGGACAAGGGACATAGTCACTGGATGACTCAGCCTCCCACACCTCCTACCACCCCTGTGTTTTAGCAAACTTTGCTGCCTGGGCACCAGCTCAGTTCTAGTATTGGATCAGATATCAGATTTAGAATCAGATCCAGATAGTCTGAACACTTTTTAGCTAGAGACACCCAAAATTCAACTTGTCCAAAAGTGAACTCAATATTTTTCTACTCACCCAGCCACCACTTAATTCAAGGTTCACCTGCCCCATCACCTTTTGTTTAGACTATTATAATCAGTGATTTGCTGGTAAATATTCAACAGTTGGCTCTCAAGAAAGAAAAATAGTTCCAAAAAACAGACTTTTAATTTTAATTTGCATTATAACATTTTCTCCATCACTTTCTTAAGTCCAGACAATCATCAAAACAATATATCAATCCCCAATTTGTAGCATTTCCTGATTTCTGAGGCACAGATGCTCACACTGAAAATGGAATCATTGGTTCTCACTCCAGCCCTTATGAGCTGGCTCCAGAATACTTCTGATGGTGATAGCCCCTAATTGGTCTCCCTACTTTAAATCTCTCAACACTCCATGTCAACCTACATATAGCTGCTAAAGTGAGTTTTTCTTAGGAGCAGATCCAACCATATCACTCCCCTACTCTATTAATTCCAGTGATTCATTAACTCTTGCCTCAGTGATAAAATATACACTTCCCTTTTAAAGCCTGTCACAACCTGATCGCCACCTATCCTTCCAATCTCATTATATATTACTTTACTATATTATTAGAGTAGGTACCTAAGTGGTATAGTGAGAGAATCAGGAAGACCTGAGTTCAAATCCAGCCTCAGACACTTACATATGAGTCCGAAAGTCATTTAACCTCTGCATGCTTCAGTTTCCTCATCAGTAAAATGGGGATAATAATGGCACCTACCTCAGGGTTGTTGTGAGCAAATGTGATTATACTTGTAAAGTACCTGGCACATAGTAGGCAGTTTTTATTATTATTATGCTAGTTCATTATTATTATTATTGTTACAAATTACTCCCCTTTCCATACTTTGCCATTCAGGCCAATTGGCTTTCTCTATTCCTCACACACAATATTCTATCTCTCTTCTGTCTGTGCCTTTTTTTTTTTTTTAAATTAGGCAATCAGGGTTAAGTGACTTGCCCAGGGTCACACAGCTAGTAAGTGTCAAGTGTTTGGTCTGAGGATTTGAACTCAGGTCTTCCTGACTTCAGGGCCGGTGCTGTATCCACTGCCCCACCTAGCTGCCCCTCTCTGTGCCTTTCTTTATATAGGCTGTTTCCTATGGCTGGAATGCACTCCTTCCTTACCTTTGCCTTACAGAACCCCTCCCTTTGGGAGGTGCTTAACCGCCACCTTCTATAGGAAGCCTTTCTTGATCTCCCTCCCCCACCCTCAATCCCCACCCCAGGTTAGCGCCCTCTCTCCTCAACTACCTTATATTTAACTATCTTGTATTAATTCTGTCCATACTTATTTATATATGTAATAGGACAGAATAGAATCTACCCTCCAATAGAATGTGAGCTCCTTGAGAGTAGGACTTGTCTCATCCTCTGTCTTTACATCTCCAAAATCTAGCCTGGCACACAATAGTCCCTGTAATAAGTGCTTGTTAACTGATTTGATTGATCTAGTACCTCCAGTCTTCTTGGTTGGGTTCCACGGGGATGAAGCTTGGGCTGACTACAGGGTGTTCCATAGGAGCAAAAGTCAAAGTTTCTTCCCAGTAGTCTTCTTTGTTCTCCTTATCCTGCCTTGACACTGAAGAGACATACAATGTCCCCCCACCCCAAAAAGAGGAACTTGGTTAGCTAGTTAGAAATATTTATTGAGTACATGTAGGACCATGCAACCTGAACAATGATGGGGAGATGGAGAGGTAGTGAGAATATAAATGAGGACATGGGGAATTCAGAGTTGAGGAGGTAGTAGGGTTTAAGGTTGGAAGGTGCAGAGCTATAAACAAGCAAGTTTTGTGCCTGAGGTGAGATGTAGGAAACATTTTCAAGATGTCTTTTTAAGACAGGTAGGTAGGAAGAGATGCTGGTATATAAGCCTCCATAGGCTGCTGGGGATACCTCAGGCTACTGGAGAGGACAGGATAGGGATGGGGGTGATGGGTAGAGTTGAGGTATGGTGAAGCTGAAACTCAAAATCTTCTGTATTCCTATTTTAACCCATTCTGTTAATTAAATGCTAAGATGAGTTGATTGTGTGTTGCTGGTAGACTGCAAAATGATGTCTAAGTACTCTAAATTATCATGCCCTGGGACAAATCTCCAGTTGACCTACCCCAGGTATGACTATGAGAAAATGGAGAAGATGGTAAGGACAGAGGTTGGTAGGTGGAAAGGTGGTAAATCCAGGAATGGGGAAGCTGGAACAGCAGGTGGGGATAGCTTCAGCAGGGCTGTATTATCCATAGATGTGTCTGATGAGAACAAAAAGCCTATGAAAATATATTACCATTTAGAATTTTGTTGAATAAAAACTGCAACCAAGGTCTGTTACTGAATATAACAAATAAGGTCCAATCTTTATCCCTTAATATTAATAAAAATGACAGGACCTATGGTTTCATTGGAATAGGGAACTTCCTCTACCAGTGCAGGTAGAGGAACTTAATTCCTTAACCTCTATTTGTTTCAATCTCTTCAACTATAAAATGGGTATAATAACTGCACCTAAGTCTCTGGGTTGTTGTGAAGATCATCTGAGATTATATTTGCAAAGCACTTTGCACTGTGCCTAGCCCATGGTAGGCATTATATAAATGTTTGTTCCTTTCCCTTATTGTTTTAGAAAGGTGACCAGAACAAATAGAAATGAGGGCCATTAATCTATACATAAGGATTCCTTTGGGCAGCATACTGACTTCATTTTAAAATTCAGTGTTGTCTATTTTTACTGTATTTTTATTTATTTTCTTAAATATTTCCCAATTACATTTTGAAGTGGCTTGGGTGGCACTCCTACAGCCGACATGTTTGATACCTCTGGCCTAGAGCACTGAGGGATTTGACTTGCCCAGGGTCACTCAGTCAGCAACTCTCAGAGGTAAGACTTGAACTTAGTTTTTTCCTGACTTCAAGGACAGTTCTCTGTCAACTACACTAGGCCACTTAAGCTTTAACAAAAAAAAATTAAGGAGCAGCTAGGTGGCACAGTGGATAGAGTCAGGAGGACCTGAGTTCAAATCCGATCTCAGACCAGATACTTGACACTTACTAGCTGTGTGACCCTGGGCAAGTCATTTAACTGCAATTGCCATACACACACACACACACACACACACACACACACACACACACACACACATTAAACTTGGGTCTCAGTACCAAAAGTTAAAAAGGATCTTGGAGGTCATCAAATCCAACCCTACCTCTCCTTTTTGTGGATAAGGAAACTGGAGCCTTAAAAATAAAATGACTTCAAGGTTACATAGGCAGTAAATGGCAGAGTAAAGATTTAAACCCAAGTCATCTAATTCCAGATCAGGTGTTCAGTATACTACATAATGCTGCTGTTTGAAAATAATTACTGAATTTAAAAGGAAAAGTCATCCTATATTGAAAATATTGACTGAATCGAAGAAGGATGTGAAGGGGGCAGGGTAGGGAGGAAAGCACATTCTCTTGTGTTCAGATGACTGGGAACCCAACTAGGAGTCAGGGATGGAAGGGACATCATCAGGAGATGGACAAGTTATCTTGGCCTCACCACCCAAAGTGGCTTCCTCCCGCTGGAGAGACAGGAAAGGTTATTATTGTCTTCTTCCCATGGTTTGCCGTTGCGAGGCACCCTCAGAGAAGGACTTTGCTGGTATCCAAGAGTCCTAGTTACTGAACTAAAGGTTTCCACATGACACTCACCTGGAGGGGATACTTTCAGAATGAACATGCCCAGGGCCCGGAGCCCTGTGGTTGTCTCCACCATGCAGCCATATTCGCCAGCATCCTCCAGCTGCACATCATCCATCACTACTTCGAGTAGGCCCTCACCCAGGTCAGTGAGGTGGACCTTTTCACTGCTTGGGGTCCTCCTGTCCACAACTGAGGTGACAAGGGGTTGGCATTCTGTGGACAAAAACTGACACCACACCTTCCGGGCCCGAGCATCCTCTAGGTCATAGTGGCACAGCAGGGATATTGAACCACCAGCAACGGCTTGTAGTGTTTCGGGAGCACCTTTGACAACGCAACCTGGAGAAGAAAGAAGGCATAGTATGCAGGTGGTGCACCTTGCATGAGTAGCTGGTACCCACAGGCATGACAGTAATAGGGGAGTACAAGGCCGGTCTCTCCTTCCTTTCTGACTTAATGAGATTGGATGGACCTTAGAGATATCTAAGGCAGGAGTTGTGTGTGTGTGTGTGTGTGTGTGTGTGTGTGATCTCTTTTTAGAATAGTGTTTTTAAATGCATAAAATAAAATTTACAGTATTGCAAAGGAAAATAATCATATTAAAATGAAGAAATTTTTTTTCTATCCGACTTTGTGGTCCCTCGATACCTACTTCATAGACCCCAAGTTAAGAACCCTGATCTAAGGGGACAAAGAGAGGAGAGGATTGCCTAGGGCATCAGTGCCAAGCAGCCCCATGAGGGTGTTTGAGTGCTCAGGACCCTTTCTATTGAAAGAGTCACCAGCCCTCTTCAGACCTTACCTGTCATACCCAGGAGAAAGAGCAAGAGTAGGGTGAAACCCATAGTGGGATAAGCTGGAGGTTCCACTGTCCAGGGAGCAGACTGAACTCAGAGACTCAGTCCAGAGAATGATAGAGGGCCCTCCCAGATGCAGGAAATGCTTTCTCAGTGTACAGTCACATGGGTCTCCCAATGACCAAAGTAGTGGCAGCTCAGTAGAATATGGCAAAGGGGGGAAAGAGGCAGGAGGCTGACAGGCACTTCTATTGAGTTGAGGTAGCAGGAGCGGAGAAAGTGCCATATGGAATCAATTGGCCAACTCTCATGAGTTCTACCTCCACAACATTTCTGAGACCATACTAGTTCAGGCCTTCATCACCTCCCACCTGGACTATTGCATTAGCCTCCAGCTGGTCTCTCTGCTTCTAGTACCTCCAATTCATCCCATCAAATTGGTATTCCTAAAGCACAAGTCTGACCATATCGTTCCCCTACTCAAGAAGCCCCAGTGGTTCACTGTTGTTTCTAAGATCTAATGCAAACTTCCAATCTCTTCACAATCTAACTCCAGTCTTCTACCTTTCTAGGCTCATTGATTACACATCCTTCATTCCATATTCCAGCCACACTGGCCCGATTGTTCTTCCTATGCTGTGTCATGTCTCATTTCCCCCTTGGGGACTTTGTACATTCTTTGTCAGGAATGCTCTTTATTCACCTCTACCTCTTGGAGCTGCTATCACCCTTCAAAATTCTGTCCAAATTCCACCCCCTCCATGAGGTCTTCTTGATTTCCTCAGTTATTACTAGCTCTCAAACTCCATCTTGTAATTACTTGTCTGTGTACCTGCTGTTGCATTCTCCCCACAGAGATGTGGAAGCTGCTTGAGAACTCCATAATGCCTTGCCTCTCATCTTCAATAAGAAGCTTTTCCTGATCTTCCTTAATCCTAGTGTCTTCCTTCTATTGATTACCTCCAATTTATCCTGTTTACATTTTGTTTAAACCTGGTTGACTGAGAAGATGATGGTGCTGACCTCTACATGGAGATCAAAATAGAGGAAAAGTTCCTATGGATAAAAAAAAAAATTAGCATTTACAGTGGCACTTTTTTATTACAGCAGAGAATTTGAAAGAATGCAGGTGCTCATTGGTTGAGCAAATTATGGTATAGGAATATAACAGAATATTATCATACTTAAAGAAATAATGAATATGAATCAAAAGGTCATAGTCTTAAAGTTGGAAGGGATTTTAGATGTTGTAAAGTCCATTTACCCCTCACTTTACAGGTGATAAAACTGAAGCTCAGTGAGGTTAATTGACTTGCTCAGGGATACATTGTGGTAATCATAAGAAGCAAGATTGGAACCCAGGTCTTATTCCAAATCCAGCACTGAAACGACTACAATGTAGTGGCCCCTGGGTGCAGCCTTTTGACTGAGTCCACATTTTACAGAATGAATCCTTTTATTAAGGGCATTTGTTCTATAAAGTTTGGATTCAGTCAAGGGCTGCACTTGAGGACCTAGAGGGTCACAGGCTCCCCACACCTGCACTATATCATCTTGCTATTCCGAAGAAGTCAGACAAAGACACACATGAACTGATGTGAAGTGCTGTAAGCAGAATCAGGCAAACAATTTATATGATGACGATAATGGAAAACAACATTGAGAGATTTTCCAAATTCTAATCAATTTAATGTCCAATTGAGTGTGGTGGTCAGAATGAATATAGTGCACCACATGTGGTCTGGCCAAGAAGATGTCATCGTCTCCCTTATCAGGAACACTAATCTTCCTTTAATGCAGCCTAAGCAGTTTTGGCTACTGTCTCATATTGTTTGCTTATATTAAGCTTACGGTTCACTCAAAGCCCCATTTTTTCTGAATGTCTGATGTTTTTAGATCACTATTCTTAAAATTCTTCTTTTAAAATTAGCATTTTAACATATTAATTTCTTGAGATGGGGATGGGGGTGAAAGGGCCACACAAAGGGACACGTGGGAGGGTAGAGAAAGGGAGGCAAAAGGAGAAATGACCCAAAGCATGTGCCTGCAGGGAAACCTATTAAGAAGTGTGCGTGCTTGTGTTTATATTGCCTGTGTATCTGCTTCAGCACAAATATTAGAAACAGAAAATAAGGTTAGAGGATCATAGGATCATAAATGTAGAGGTGGAAGGGACCTCAAAGACCACCAAATCCAACCCTTTCATTTTACAGATGAGGAGACTGAGTTCTAGGGAGGTTAAGTCACAGACCTGTAGTCCCAGTTCCCAGTCCTGTCCTTTGGATGACTGTTTCTCTTCCTCTATTCCATGAAAGGAAAGTCCTGCAGCTCAAATGAGGCAACTCCCTGTGCTACTGAGTCATCAAAGCAGAGACAGATCCAGACCAAGATTGCCATCAGAGGAAGGTGGGGGTGGTGACGAAGAGGGAGACTTAAGGGTCATGGTCTTGAGGGGGATAAAGGCAGAGCCAGAGAGTTTGGGAGAAGGGAAAGAGAAAGGGTTGAGAAATAAGGTCTGAGAGGAAATTAGGGAAATCAGGGGGTGGCAGAAAGAAGTAGAAAGAGCGGGATCCAGGACTGGGAGGGATTGAGGAGAGGCCTCGGGGGCAGAGAATCAAAGTAGGAAATCTGGTATTGAGGATATGAAGGTTAGGAAGGTTAGGAAAAGGCATTTGGGAAAGGGCCTGGGATCTGGAGAGCAGAGTAGGGAGTAGGCAAAGGAGTAGAGGGGAAAGGAGTAGCGGGGGGGCCTGGGGTTTAGATTTGGGGGTGGAAGGAGTCATGGTTTGGGTGATACGGCTGAAGGGGGGCCTACAGCTTCCTTCCCCAAAGTCATAAAACCAGCAGTGTTTGCATTCCTGGCCCTAGTTGGGTGGCACCCCAGATCTAGGATAAGCACACCAAAGAAAGGGCCCACTGGAGTCAACAGTGTCACACAGAAGCTTCCAAAGCTGATGGTCTTTGAAGTTGCATTGAAAGAGACACAGTGTCTACAATGAAGGAATTGATAATACCACCTTACTCTGCTCTGGTCTGATTAGGTTCTGTTTTGAAAGCCACATTTTAGGAAAGACATTGATAAGTTTAATAGGTGTGTGAGCAAGACGGTAGAAGAACTAGAGACACAATATCACAGGTCTAAAAGAACTAGAGATATTTACATTAAGGAAGAAAAGACTTAGGGGTATGATAATAATTGTCTTCAAATGTTCCATGGTTTGTCATATAGAAAAGAAATTAAGTATGTTCTGCCTGGCTCTAGAGGGGAAAATTGGGAGAAAGCTATGGAGAAACAGACTTTGGCTCTACTTAAGGAAAAAATTCCAAACAATCCAAAAGTAGAGGACCTTGAATACCAGACTAAGGAATATGAATTTTAGGACTTGGTCATTAAATAGCTGTGTGACCTCAGGCAAGTCACTTTCTCCTTCTGAGTCCTGTAATATGTAGGGGAGGCAGCTAGGTGGCACAATGGATAGAGCTCTAGGCTTGGAGTCAGGAAAACCTGAGTTCAAATCCAGTCCCAGACACTTCTGGCTGTGTGAGCCTTGGTCAAGTCACTTAATCTCTGATTCCCTTAATTTCCTCACCTATAAAGTGGAAATAATAACAGCATCTACCTCCCAGGGTTGTTATAAGGATCAAATGAGAAAATATTTGTATAGTGTTTAGTGTAATGCCTGGCACATAGTAGGTATTTAATGAATATTTGTTTCCTTCTTTCTTTGTAATATGAAGGAATTGGATTTGTTGATCACTAATAGTTCCTCTTAGCTCCAAAAATTATAGGATTCTGTAACCTGATTAGCAGGCAATAGGAAGCCCTTGTTCTTGAGTGGGGGGGGGGGTGTCAGATATAATTACAGTGGTCAGCAGAGAGTTTTTCCCAAAGGAACAAAACCCTCTGGCATACATCACTATTTTGCCTTTTCCTGAACCAATCACAGCCTACTTCCCCACTCACAAGCAGATTCTTTTTTTTTTTTTTGGTTTTAGGCAGTTGGGGTTAAGTGACTTAGCCAGGGTCACACAGCTAGTAAGTGTCAAGTATTTGGTCTGAGGCCAGATTTGAACTCAGGTCCTCCTGACTTCAGGGCCAACACTCTATCTGCGCTGCCTAGCTGCCCCGCAGATTCTTAATATAGGCTTTGCCTCCTGTCTCTTGTCATTCCATCCTAAGACACCTTCTTCATGTTTCACATAGAAACCAGATTGATGCTTTCGGAAGATTAATATAGCAGTGGTGTGCAAGGTGGCTTTAGGATGAGAAGGAGTTGAGGAGACTGGAGTCAGAGAGGTCAGAAAGGAGGCTGCTGCAGTAATCCAGGCATGAGGTTGTTGTTGGTGGTGGTGCTTTATTCTTGAAACGGATCAATGACATGACAAGGGTGATGTCTTGACTTGTGTATGAATTGGATTTGAGTGAAGCAGAGCTGTGCAAAGGCATCGACCCCACCCTCTTGTCTAGAGTCATTGGATTCCACTGGCAAGAGAAAGGTGGGTAACCTTGGCCTTTCTAAATTAGTCTTTTCCAGGTCCCAGTTTATCTGAGGTAATTTTATTGTCTTCTTCTGAGTGTGTGTTTTGATCTTCCTTGACACATAGTAATTTTCTATAGTCAGAGGTTTTTTCCATTATTTACTCATTTTCCCAGGCTATTACTTGACTTTTTACTCTTTGTTGAAGTAGGGCTCTGCTCCCAGGGTGGAGGGCAAATTGTTTCAAGCTTTAGGGGTCTTGTGCAGTTGTTTTCAAAGACACTTCTGAGGACCTGTAAGTTTTTAGTTCTTCCAAGGTGGTACGATCTAAGGAGAGGTGTTTATTCCTCTTCTGGCCTGTGATCTGGTCTATGAGTGACCACAAGCACTCTTTTCTGCCCTGGAATTGTGAGGAAGGTCCCCCCTCCACTACTGCCACAAGCTCTGCTATGCTAGTGCTCCTCCTCACTCTGGGACTGCCACCAAGCACTGGGACCCAGATCTGAGTGTGGGGAAAGCAACAGAGTCCTGCCTCTGTGCTAGCAAAAAACCCCCTGTAATCTCCTCCTGACCAGATCCCCTTCCTGTCTGCGTGCTGAGAGCTCCAGAAGTAGCCACTGCTGTTGCAGATTCAGTCACTCCCAAGG